ATCTATCTCCAAATGGACAAGTTCTCTGGCATGGTCAGTTTGCTCATTGCTTACTTTGTACAGTGTTGTACTTTTGATGCATGGCTTTATAAAAAGAGATAAAACCCGTGTAAAATTATGTATCATTGGGTCAGGGAGTAAAACACAATCGTAAACCTTAGCAAAGAACTGAAATATTTCTAACTAAAAACTCTGAAATCGAGCAAAGGACCAAAAAAGATGTGCTGAGGTACACAACATTAGATGTCTAGGATTTGTTATTGAATATCTATCTACTTATGTACAACTTCTCTGGCGTGGTCAATTGCTCGATTGTTTACTATGTTCGGTGTTGTACTTGTGATGCATGGCTTCCTAAAAAGAGAAAAAGCAACTTAAAGTCATGGTAAAACTATGTATAATTGGTTCAGGGAGTAAAACACAATCGTAAACCAGGACCAAGAAAGATGTGCCAAGGTACCCTCTGCAGCTTTGCACTTGGCGCATGTGTGGGGGAAACAATTTACTAAGATTTGTTTTAGAATAATGAAGTCTGTGTAATACTTTGTACTGAATAAGGTTGTCTAGAATTTATTGGACATGAATAAACATAAAAGGCATTAATTCTAATCAGTGTCAGAGATTCAAATCCCCAGGTCTTCATCCCAAGCGACTTTCAAATGAAAATGGTAGATTTTAATATGCATTAAAATACAAAAGTCTTTTTAAATTGTGAAAATGACATTTAATTGACTTATTTTTAATGATGGGGCATTTATATACATGTATGTGTGTATATATATATATATATATATATATATAATGAAAGTTCATTATATATATATAATGAAAGTTACAGAAGTGACATATATACATTGGAGGCAATTAAAGTATGTAATGTTTTCAATATTTCAGCATTTCCAAATAATTTTCTGTTGTCATTTAGCAAAACAGATATTGTCGTGTAAAAATGAAATGACACGCTTGTTCTGACCTGTAGTTTTTAAAATATACAAAAGAATATAACCATACAGTATTTATTCTTACTCCCAGGACCGTTTATATTGAAGTTGCAATTTAGCTGCACCATGTTGGTGTTTCGTAACATTTAATTTTTACGAGGTGGGTCGTTAGCTCAACCCTCAACCCCCAACCTGAAGAACCAGGACATGCACCCATACACTACAGACAATTTAGCTTACCAAATTCACCTATAACGCATGTCTTTGAACGTGTGGGGGAAACCGGAGCTCTCTGAAGAAATGGATGGAAATGCCATCTGATCCAGCCGGAGCTCGAACCAGTGACCTCCTTGCTGCGAGGCGACAGCGCTACTCACTGCGCCACCATGCTGCTCAGAATATAACTAACTAAATTGTATTATCTTTTAAAGGATTTCAAAAACTTCACGGACACCATGGGTAAAACATAGTAATAAACCTTTAAGTAAAGTAGCAAAGTTTAAAGATTTTTAATGACAATTCGTTATTGGATTGCACTTCAAGCAATGCTTAATGTGCCTGACAAGATTTTTGAACTTGTTTAAATTAGGGTTCCACTTAATAACAATAACTTAATGTCGTTTCCTTTTTTTTACTCCATGATAGTTCTCATTCAATTGGGAATTGTGCAGTTGTAGTGTGCATAGTGTGTAATTTTGCTGTAGTAAATTATGTAAAAAGTACTGAATGAACAGTTTAAAAACCCAAATATACACTGTAAACTATATTTCCAAAGGCTCAGATTGGAAGAGAGATCCTGGGGGTTTAAGTCACCAGTACCCAATCATTCAAATCTTAATGCACATTAGTTAATGCAAATATGTAGTATCCAAATGCACAATGTCTCCAAATCACGTCTTGATGCCCCAATTATAACCCCCCTCTTCCTTTTACACGCAGTATTCATGACTGTGTTTTTCCACTCTCCACAGCATCGCATATGCATCCTCTTCTCTCCTAGGCCACCGTTTCAATCTTCATCGCTAGCTACAACAAACATTACATTTACATATTGATTTCGCAGTTTTAGTCAATGTAAATAAGCTGCCATTACAGTAAATTTGGTCCTCTGTTAACATAAGCTTGTCCAAAGCTCCTCAGATTAAGGCGCTGGTTGCATAATTAATGTGTGCGTTACATATTAATTCCCAGACTCTCCTCTTCCTGACTGCTTTCATTTCGAACCCTGATTAGCCGACAGGCTCGCCTCTAAGCTGTTGATTCATATTCACACACACAGACGGAGCATTTGCTCAAAGAGCTACTTAACCCCCGTCGTTTGTCATCAGATGAGGACTTCTCTCCTACAGCTCAGCACCACGGCTCCCATGAATCTCAAACCCGCTCTGAGGTCAGTGCGCAAGACGAGTGGCACAAGCCCTCTTGTCCTTTTGTAGGACCTTTACACCACTTAAGCTGTGTGGTTTTGGTCGTCTGAGGCAAATTTCGGAAAATTCGAAAACATTTCTATATCTTATAGTTTTGTATCGCAGATTTGACATGTTCATCGGTGCAGGTGCAATCATTTTTTTTTGATAGTGTCAGAAGATTTGGGAATCTTTTCTGCAGAGGGATTAGTCAATGGCTATTACACCAAAACTAATTAAAGCACTAAAAAGGAAGCAATGTGGAGAGAACTGGCTCTTAAAATACACATTTCAACCTCTCAAACATGGACATAAAAATATGCAGCAGAGGGGGAATTTATAACCTTTAAGTCAAGTGGCCCTTATTTCTGCTTTATACCATGCAGATTGTATCAAAGCTGCTTTACATGGAAGAAAATGAATGATAAAAGTCAGATAACAGAATTTCATCATCGGAGGATGTATTCGATGTATCAAACCAAGTAGAAGAATAATAGTAAAGTGCTGTTGTAGTTCTAGTGGCTTCAAAAATGATTCAGTTTAGTTCCATACAGATGATCCACTCAGAGGCAGCTACACTAACCCCAAAAGGTGACAATGGCAAGGAGAAACCAAGCATGGGGGAAATCATGCTAAGTCAGATCTCCTAAATGGTTCAAATGGAAATGAAGCAAAGCTGCATATGTTTAAATATTTGGTATAAAACTCTAGTCTAAGTTGTCTTTTTGTGTGCCGTTTTTGATTTTGATCTTGATCTCCATTTTGATTGTCCAACACATGCTCAGTGAAAATACATGCTTCACCCTACATTTTTGTGAAGATGCAAAAACTTACTGAAACTTATTTTTTACTGCAGTTCATAAAATGAACCCTACGGGACAGTATGATGCCAACCACTTTTGCTCTTTTTCACACTGATGATATTTACAGAAACGTTTTATCTACCAATAATAGATTATCTTTGTGCAGTTCTTTGCACAACATTGAAGGTGTCAGTGATTTGTAGTCGAATACATTTGCCAGTTCTATCTAACCATATTGACAACTCTTTGGCATGTTCTGTTTGATTGGTTGCTTACTTTGTATGTTGTTGTACTTGTGTTGCATGGCTTCATAAAAAGAAATAAAAGCTATGTGAAATGGTCACAGTGCACTTTTATTTCACATTTGGTTTTGAAAACGCTATTTGTTGAGTTTAGGGGAGGTTTAGGGCAGTGGTTTGCATAGGGGATCCAGAACGTTGCATTAATGTAAAATAAAGCATGAAATAAGAGAAAATGGCTACATAAAAGACATATATGACCTACAAAAAGACACCACAATGATAGAGAGAGAGAGAGGGGGAGAAAGAAATGTTTAAAATTGAACATTAGTAGTCTTTAAGACTGAATCACATATTTTATAACATTTTGCAGAGTTCCAAGAGGTGGTATATCTAATTATTTCCAAATATAAAGTGGAGATAAGTCCAAGAAGCCACTCAGAAAAAAGAGGACTTACATTTTTCTTCCAGAAACAAAGAATTACTTTTTAGCTGTGATTATGCCATACCAAACAGGTAACCATACATTTTAAGTATCCAGAAAATCTCACCAACCAAAAATTTGCTATCATTGGGTCTGGGAGTAAAACACAATTGTAAACCTTAGTAAAAAACTGTATTATTTCTAACCCAAAACTCTGAATTTGAACTCAGGACCAAAAAAGGATGTGCTAAGGTACACAACATTAAAGGTGTCTATGATTTGTAATTGAATACCTTTGCCTCACTTATCTATCTGCATATGGACAACTTCTCTGGCGTGGTCGGTTTGCTCGGTCGCTTACTTTGTACAGTGTTGTACTTGTGATGCATGGCTAAAAAGAGGTAAAAGCAATGTAAAATCAAGGTTAATAATTTATGTAAAGGGTTTGTGCCATTTGTATCATTTGTAAATTAAGTACCATTGGGTCAGGGAGTAAAACACAATCGTAAACCTTAGTTGTAAAATGGTCACAGTGCACTTTTATATCATATTTGCTTTTGAAAACGCTATTTGTTGGGTTTAGGGAGGGTTTAGGCCAGTGGTTTGCATAGGGGATCCAACACGATGCATAGGGGAACAAGAACGTTTATCTGAAACATACAACAGCACATACTCAAAGTACCACATATCAGACTCACAAAAATTTAGGAAGTGCCCTCTAGTGGATTTTTCATCTGAAATGTGGAATATAATGTTCCCACTGTAACCTATTTTATGCTTGTAACCTATTTTATCATAAAAATGTAGACAAAGCCACGCATTTTCAATAAACCTGTGCGGTTATGGCCATACAGTGTGATATTCTAAAAACTAAGATCCTTGAGTGTGACAAAGCGGTATCATGTTTGGATAGCTTGACAGTCACAATTGTAAAGCACAGTTTAAAAAATTTTTACAGTGCGTCTTTAGCCCCAATCGATGGCTCCAGATGGCCTTGTTGCTGGTGTGTGGCCCACGCTGTGGCCCATGGCTTGTTCTCTGGCCTCCCGCTAGCAGTGTACCCACAGGCCTGTCTGAGCCCACAGGCCCTGGGGAAACCGAGACGAGCTCCGACTCGTCCTCTGCTGAACTCTAATGCTTCTTTCTTTTTCTTTTTCCCCCTGTCTCCCCCTCTCCCCATTTAACAGTGCCCAGCAAGGGTTGTCAAATCAGAACTACCTGCTCGTCATTAGCCACCGTGAAGCACAGAGAGATTACAGCCTCAACTTCCCTGCCAGCAAAACCATCCAGGAGGTGAGACAACCGCACACCTGTCTGTCACCTTGTCTGTCTGTCTGCACCCGCTGTCTCTGTGTTTCTGCCCATTTTCTCTAAAACTGCTCTCGGGATTTTTAGCTATGGCATTAATTTAATTATTGCATGCTGAAATAATAGTCCTCATTGTGATGGAGAATGATACTGGTGATTAAAGCCTGTGTTGAGCCAAAGGTAATTATAAGTTCTTCCTTTTCAGAAGGGCTACCTATCTGCTGACTTCATGACTATCTCAAACGTTTGTTTGTTTTTAAAGAAATGCACTTAGAAAGGACCTGTTATGTTTAATTGTCTGTCAGTGGGCTCAGGATTCATTTACATTTTTTGCATGGAGGGCAACATATTCAGCACTAATTTGTTAATGTTTTCAACTAATATGTCTTACACTAATATTACATCAGTGCTAACAATTTGAGTTAATGTTATAGGGATAGTTCAACTAGGGCTGGGCAATAAATCGTAAAGTAATCAAAACATTCAGAACCTATAAACGATTACTTTCCCTACCCTGTTTGGAGTCACTTGACCCTGTTCTGTTAAGGCTGATTGAAATTTTTGCATTGAACGCACGGGTGTGGTCCAGCGCAGCCTTTTGCGCACTCGCATACTTGCGCACCTCTCAAAAAATGTAACTATACGTCGCATGTTTTCACTACATTGACAATGATTGGAAGCTGCACCAGAGATGCCTTGATATGGCATATTTTCCGTTACAATAAAATTATTATTTACATTAAAATATTTTTTTACAGCAGATTTAAGAAATGCATTGCTTAAAACATTATGTACAGGATTTATTTTATTTAGAAGGGATACTGCTGTTTTTTTCTACATTTAATTTGAAAAACATAAAAATTATTAATTTTGTTTCCAAAAGCGCAAGTTATTTATTTGTGACTGTTAGTTTTAGGCAGTTTGTATTTTAATTTAATTTGTTCATTGTTGATGTTCAATAAATAATCATAGATAGGAGATAGTGTGTGTGTTTCCTTATTTTAAATTCAAGTAATGCACCCTTCATTCAGAAATCTCTCACTTGTAATATGTGCGCATATATACGGTACAAAAGTTATTAGATGACTATGAGGGCAAATAAAAAAATAAATAAATGAAATAATCACTCATTAATCGTAATAGAGTTAAAATATTGAATTAATCAAGATTTTGATTTTAGGCCAAATTGCCCAGCCCTAAGCTTACCCAAAAATGGAAAGTTTAATTACTCTTTATTTGTGTCTCAACTGTTTGAGTTTCTTTCTTCTGTTGAACAGATACTTTTTTAAGAATGTTAGAAACTGGTAGCTATTGATGTTCATAGGATTTTGTTTTCTACCATGAGTCTCAATGCCTACCTGTTTGCAACATTCTTTAAATACTAGGAATTTTTAAGTAACACATTTCAGAACCCCTAGTTTAGTCATCTTAGTGTTTCATTTAAATTCCTTACTGTAATAATTTCCTGATGTCAAATATTCTTAATATGTCTTGTGTTTTTAGATGCATTTAATTTTGAGTTTTTTGGAAAATATCAGTTTTGTTACATGAATTTAGATTTTATTTATGTAAATAGTTCAAATGTGTACTTTCGGCATAAATCAAAATATTAATGTTAGATATTACAAACTATATTTTCATATAATTTCTATTGATAGCACACATTTGGAGAGATTATTATTATTTTTCCCCTAACTCCTTATTTTTACTTGTTAACTATTGACTATTGTATCATTTAACCTCCTAGAGTTTAGTGGCCACATATGTGGACCGCACATTTTAGCTCTTAAGTGGCTATTTAAAATACTTTGAATGCTTTATATTTTGTTACAGACATACAGTGTCATCCTGTTTTGCAGCATATAAAATATCCCAAACACTATTTTTACCTGTCTAAAATGAGAAAAAAAATGTTGTTTATATTCTCTGATAGTCAAAACGTGTTCAAAAAAATTCTGTTAAATATGCAACACAAAAAAGTCAGGAAAAATTGTTTTATGTAAATTCGGACCACGAGTCGACATATATGGACACATTTTTTTTTCTAAAAGTACATCATATCAAAAGATGATACTTAGTTTTTTATTCTAATTAGGTTCCAATAAGCCCAAATAGCAAAGATAAATAAAACATGCATGTAAATAAACACATTGGGCCTTAAGAGGTTAAGTAAAAAGTCTCACTCTCCCTCATTCTGTAAATGTTAAGTCTTTAAATCATGAGGGAGTAGGATGTTCCCCTTTCTGAAGAGATTGTATTTTTTAGCAGGTGAATTTGTAATGCTGAAAGATTTTTGTCAACTGTGTGTCTTTCATCACATCACAGTATCTGCAGTAAGCAGAGCTCTGTATCGAGCAGCTTAAACCCCCCTGTGGCTCATCAGCTCCTTTCCCTCTCCCATCAGACCTGTGCGATGCCATTCTTTTCACCCTTCTCCTTTTAACTACACTGTGTTGTATTTAAGGTTGGTTTGTGTGCGACACAAAACCCAAACGCTCCATTCTGTACACACACACACAACCCCTCCCCAACTCTGTGGCATTCTCTTCGGCCTGCCCCAGTAACCTACACACAGCTTTCTGGAAATGGCTCCATTAATTATTCACAGCAGGTAGTGTGCACCACGTCAAGTGTAACAAGCTCCCCGTGGACTGACAGCGCCACTTGAACCCCTCCCTCAGTGCTGGGGGAGTCGTGTTGGGCCTGTGCAGCGACGTTTTGAAGAATCAGACATCTGTGATGTTCTTTTTTTTAAAACTTGTGTCAAACTTATTTAACTTTTGCTGCATGTGATGTAAAGTCTGCAATGTTAAAGACCCCTAAAACGTTCGATTTTAGTTTTTTGTGTGTAAACAATGTGTTTACTTAAGCAGCTGTTTTTGATACTACTTGCTTTCTTTATTCGCAACAAAGATATAATTTCTTAAGTTGCAATTTCAAGAAGTATATGTAACCATCAATATCCTTGAAAAACAACACAGGATAAGATATTTAAACTTTTTTTTGAGAATTATTATTTATTGTAACTTTTTTCTTTCTCCCCAGTTTAAATTACAAAAAAAAACTAAAAAAACTGGACACGATAAGCTTATTTTAGAAGCAGCACTGCATAAACTATTAAGAATTTTTTTCTGAGAATGTTTCAAGTTTAGGAAGATTTGTTTTAATTTCTTGGTAAAATTACTTGATTAAAAGTTAGTTTACTTGGGAAACACTGTCAGTTTTTGTCAATTATAAGCAACACCGCATTAGATATTGGTTTAGATACATAGAGCGTTTTCCTGTTTACAGTTCTTATTTAAAAAAAGCCAGATTAGTTAAAATAAGAAGTAAAACATTAAGGTTTGTTTTCTAACAAACATGTAAAGTATGAAGGTGAAATTTGTAACAGAACTAAAGATTAAATCGAGTTACTCAAAGCAACATCAAAGCATATTTTTAACATGAGAAATGTTTATGACCGTAAATTTGTCTTATTTTAATATTTAGAGTAATTGTTTGAGTCTAATTAACTCAAAGGTTTCAGTTACATGTGAAATTAACATACATTTAGTTTTGAAATTCTTAAATATTCATAGTTAAAGATGAAGCACGATAAAAGTGTCATGAAAAGTAGTGGATGGATTATTAATCAGTGAAAATGTTCCTTTTCATTTGAGCTGTTAAGAAACTTTTTGGTCAAACATCTTATTTTAGAGTTTTAAAACAGTAAAATAGCTTTTTCTCATCTTAGCTTTGTCCACACAATCCTAGAACCCCTTTCCCGGCGAAACTGCCGCCTTGATGGCGCTGGTCACCATTACAGTAATCAGACTACTTGACAGGTTTGTAATGGTGCTAATTGAAGAGATTAAAGTGAGATGGGTGAGCGCTCTCTTTCCCTCAGCAGATGGTTTTGATGAGCACCTACTGTGAACCTTAAGTGTTTCTGCCGGGATTACAACAACTGGAGAGTAGAGCCCGCGGGGAAGAGAAAAGAAGGAGCAGGAAGCGAAGCTGTTGGCTTGGTAGGGGAGCGAGTGACTGGACAAAGCTGAATCAAACGGGCCGCTGCGGCCCCGACTGGCCTGATCCTTAGGCATTCTGTTTTCTTTCTTCCTAAGACCATGATTGAGGGGGAGAGGGAGAAGATTTGTTTTCCGAGAAGAAACAAATTGCAAAACTGTTTTTTTTTTTTTTTTGTAAGAGAACACCTTATTGGTTGCACGTCACTTTCTAAATGGCCCTTCTCTGAGAGTTAGTTTAGTTAGCTGGAGAGTTCATTAGTTACTTTGGCTCCACAGGAGGATTTTTTTCTTGTCTCTTATACCTAACGTGTCTAGCGCTCGCTTTTGTGTGCGAGATGCCAGAAAATAAACACATGAAGGGGAAAGAAAAGCTCTGTGGGGATCCACTACGTTTCCACACAAACGTCTCGTTGAGAAAGTTACTAACAAGTGAGAGAAGTTTTTGTTTTACAGTTGTGGCTCTAAAACCGAAGGCCTGTGTGAAAATGCAACAAAACAGCAACAGAGAGCTCTCACAATCTCTTTTTTTTTTTACCCCATTCACCCCCTCACAGGCACATATGGAGAGGACTCCTCTCCAGCCTTTCTTTTTCTGCTCATCTTTTGTCTTTGCTGAAGACCAGCCGATGCGTTTCTGCATGTGCATATCAATAGAAGCAGCAAAAGAGGGAGAGAGAAGAGAGTCCCTCAGTGCTGTCCCGTTGTTTGTCTTTGCCAAAGGCTCTCGCTCTGCCTCCAGGCTCCCAGGGAACGTACCCTTCCACTATTCGGCCCCGGGCCCTGCTCTCCTCTTCTGATTGGCATTCCCAAACCCGAGTTCGGGGCTGCGCTTAAGCCTCAGAGCAAATGTTTGTCAGGAAAGTGGTGGGGAGAATAGGGCCGTCCGATAGGGCTCTGCCGTCCGTGACCAGACGACTCGTCCCAGGGATTTTTGCCGGCCCCACAGCGTTTCTCTCCGCAGCTGGAGAGATGAACGTG